TATACAGACGGGAATTTAACTTTTTTGTCAACGGCATTATGATTGATTGGTTTTAAAGTATCTTAGATCAGGTACAACTCTTGCTGAGTTGAGTAGACTAAAAAGAACAGATTTTAAAAGTCGCTTGAGATAAAATCTAGAATATACAATAAAATTGATTCACTTAGCACTTGTTTTTTAACCGATGTAATCTTGCATGCTTTTGTGTCTCAATGACACCTCGACAAAATGTCTTTTTTCTGTAATCCATTTAAAGGGGTAGAAAAATATTCGAAAGGGGAGAATTGAAAGGATTTTTGTCTGACAAATCATCACAAAATGATTTTGTGTTGTGAAGTGTTTGATATCAAAAAAATGTATTAGCCAGCCAAAAAATAATGTGTGTTTATGTGTCCTGTTTCAGAAGAAGACTGAAAAAGGCATATTGCTTTGCCGCTGTCTTTCAGTCTGCCTGTAATGCCCTGTATGCATGTCCACCAACATGCAGTTTCCGTTCATTTTCTTCGCAGAGGATGCCAAACTGAAATGAAATTTGGTATATAATTTTCATTTCTAAGTACAACTACTCATAATGTATACAGTATCACTGCCCATAATAAAGTCTTTTGCACCCTATAAAGTATGTCCAGGTAGAGATGGGGTGGGATGGGGGAGGTTTTCACAAACATCTCTTGTTTGTATTGTTTTACGCTTATATATGTGTGTTTTGTTTCTTTTCCTTTTCCAATATGGTTGTTTGAAAAACTGTATAATCATATAAAAGACACATCCGGTACTAAAATCACTCTCTAAAAAAACTTTCAAATCTTTTTTTTTAAAGCACGATATTTAAATCGTATCATCACAAACTAGCTCTTTAATGTGCGTAACGCGGACGTAACAAATCCCAGATTATAACAGGTTTATCTTCCTAATATTTCCGTATCCCCCTCACAAACCGGGTAAAATATAATCAATCTATCATGCAGGAAATCAAATACATAAAATAAACATGCCACGCGCAGGATAATGTCCGTTGATTTCTCAATACTAAGGATAACAAAATATTGAATGTTTACTTTGAAAGAAAAAGTCATTTACCAAATGAAAACAGCGTGCCCCGGATTTTCTATCGCTCATATAATGCCCTCTAAAACAAACAATGGGTTTTAAACGGCTTTTTAAAAAACAGAAAAATATATGCTATGTCAATATGTGCTTGATTTCCACTTGTGATACTTTCTTAAAAGGCTGTGTATAGTTTACAGATAGATTTTAGAATCACAATAAAATCGCTCTCAAAGCGGCCAAGAGGTATATTTTAAACATTTATAAGAATGTAATCATTTTAATGTAAATATATACGTGCATATATGTCGTTATGCACAAATATGACAGGACAGAAATGTCAATTTTAATCACATGTCGATGTTTTTTTCTGTATTCAATGACAAAGAATCATAGCGCATTTGATGGGCATTAACTTTAAAAGTGCATGACGAATGAACCAAGGGAGAGCAAAGGGCGATTACTCTTAATACCGATTGTTGGGAGGGGGCATATTATTAATGTCCTAGCTTCTCATAGATTTTAGATGCAATAATAACCCTATTCAGAGGATTCAAACCAAATAACGACGAGGATTGAGAATAGAAAGAAACCTTCCCTCTCCACTATATTTTAACCCTTGGCTTGGAAAAGGGGGGTGGGGGTGGGGAGTTAAAAAAAAGATGTTCACATAGCAATATTGTAAATAACTATAAAAGCAAATTCTTGACTTATGTAGACAAAAAATCCACCCTTTAGTTTCGGATTTGTAGGGTTTTAACAGAAAGAAAAATATGCCATGACGAACATTCTTTCATCACTAAAAGTGCTCGTTTTTAATGGAGACATTAATCGATTGAACCATCTCATATAGCCATAATTTTCATAGGAATGATCTAAATAGTTAACAGATAGTTTATTTTCTAGTAATTGATATTTTGTCCTGCACTGCTTTAATTTGAAGAAGAGATTCATGGCCCGCATCATTTATAGACAGTCATTAGATCCGCCAATCTTTTGACCCAGACTCCGCATCTTCTAGTGTAACAGGATTCCGTATTGATTATGACATGTACACTAATCGTAGAATGACAATTAAGGGTTGGAATTATCCGGGAAATCGCACGTTGATGAGAATTTAAAAATTTAGCGACGTATTAATCAAGAAGATGAGAAAAACAGAGGGTACAGTATTGATTTCAATCTCAGCCATCCATCTTTATGACGTCGGGTCGATATTCCAAGGAAAGAATGCACTCATTAAACACTGCATAACAATGGATTGATTAATACAGATCAAATACAAAATCCGTGGATGTGAAACAGAGATTGGGTCATCATGGCTTACCATTTATAACATTTACAATATTGAATACAAAAAATAAAATAAAATAAAATAGCGCTTAGTTAGAATATCTAAAAGAATGAAATATAATACTACTAATTCTAAAATGTATTCCTGTTGGTGTATACTTTTGCATTCCCAATAATAATTCAACAAAAAACAAATCTTTAAACCTTTGAAAATGAATTCCTGTCCTGACAATCTACGACTCTTATTTCATATTTAAAACTGGAGCACTTTGATGGGGAAAAAAAAAACCACAAAAAAGTATAATGTTAAGTTATGCATTTAAATATTTCTTCTGGCATCGTATATGTACTCTGCCACAATGCATATAATTATGTAAGTTAGAAAAAAAGGAGGACTTAATTTGCATTTTTTCAGTTAGATACTTTATACCATCTCTTTTCTGTATTAAATATTGTGAAAATGTCATGGGTCCAAATATTAAACGTTTACAAAATTGCTGAAAGCACAGAAAAGGCTAAAATTGAGAGGAAACTCTATCCCTCCATTAATGCCGACAGAACTGCGGGTGACTGCACTCAGCAATATAATTACTTCGATACCATTCTCCACCCTGTAAATGTCAACTGAAGTTCATATCGCTAAGTAATATTAAGAATAGAAACTCCCCAAGGTTATTAATATCACATTACCAATACCCAAGATACCCCGCTAACGACCAAGTCTTCCCAAGAGAGATAACTCTTCATCCAAAATTATGATAACAGGTTTTAATTACATATTTCTGTACAGCCAATACATTTAAAGAGATAATTAAATAGGTTGCTGAGGTGTTTTAACAAAACATTCAATGGAAACTTTTGTCAGAAACATTTTAATATAGGTAACACAAGAACATGTAAAAAGAAAATGATTTGTTATCATTGGATACAAAACGATGGTAAATTTATAAACGTCAGCTTAAACACATTTTAAATAATTGCACAAAATAAAGTTCAAATATAGATTACAAAGGTTAGAGCTACTCTAAAAAAATTGATTGTACACATATGTTATTGCAATCAGTTGGCTTAAAAAAAAGGAATACTCAAAGACACAAATTTAAACCTTTAAAGACAAAAATGTCTTCTTACCCTCTGCCCTTCCATCAAACAAAAGCTTATCTATAGACGAAACAGAAAGCAAAAATATTTTGTAAATATTATATATGACTGGAATGCATCTATTCATTTTGATTTCCCTAAGAAAAAAAAATGGAAAATAGTATAGACATGCATGTAAACAATAACAATAGGCCCACAAAGCTCACCTAAAAACCTTCACCCCTTCCTGACATTATGTAGATATCTCTTACTGTAGCCATCAAAGAAATGTCTATGATGCCCAAAGCATATTGAGCCTCTATGTCAAATTTAAAAATTTCATTTTTATTCTTCTTCTAATTTTTTCTATGTACCGGTAAAATTTTTAAAGTCTCTTATTATGGCTCAACATAACCAAGAAATCACCATAAACTGCATGGGAATGCTGCATATTAATCTGACTAATTGAATATCTGTTATTCTTAAATAAATTCTCAACATGCTCCTGTAAAAGTTAGAACACTAAATCCATAAAAAAAGATCTCTTACAATTTTTGTCTTTTTTAAGTTGAGTGTTTTTTTTAAAGAATTTTTTTAAAATGACCCAGTCATATTTTTAAATTCCTTCCTCTAAAAAGATATTAATGAAACCTTAATTTATTTAAACAAAATTGACCCCTTTTTGAAACATATTCAAAGTGGCACTAAAAACAGAAGTTGATTATGTGAACTGTGGCAGACAAATGAACAACAGGCAATATTTAATCAGAAACACTGACCAGAGCCTAAACCTCAGGTGAGCTAAATCAACTTGAGCACTAAAAAAAATAATCTCAGTAAAATAAGAACAAGATTGTACACATTCTTGGAAGAAAAATATTTTCTATGCTTCTACTTGAAATACAAAGATTTCAATTGTTTTCCTTCCCAAAGCTATAGCACTATAATATAAAAATAGTATCAAATTATAAATATATAAAGGCTTTACTACTTGGAGTGTTCTACATAAATTTCTTCAATCTCTATCCTTTGATTGTATTTTTATCTACAATAGGAACACACATCTTTTTGTGCAAAGAGGAACAGAGGAAAATAGCAATTAGGGGTATTTGTTTGGTAAAACTCAATTGAAAAAACCCCCCACAAATTCCAAGTAAGTAACTTTGATTAATACCACTACTATCTATATTAAATGAGTTATGGTGTTAAGACCCTTTAGATTACACCTTTCCCTAAAAGACATATACAAGTTACACCTTTACCTAAAAGACATACAAAATATATTAGCTAACACATGTGACTACATATCAAACAAATTATTCAAACCATATACATCAAAATGGAAAAAAAAAACATATTCATGTATATCAGAGGGTTTTGTTCTACTTGTTCACAATAGGATGGCATTGTTGGTGTATAAATAATAATACATAGTATATTACATAAAAGGATTATGAAAAGTGAAAAACACTACTATATGTGCACTTAATTTAGAAGAACTTGTATGTTAGCAGTACAAGTATTGGCTGTCCCTCCCCTCCTTCAATAATTTCAAACATGACAATTGTTAAAACTCTAAAAGTTATACATGAGGAAGATTTGAAATACTCTAAAACAAGTACATGTATACAAATAGTCTTTAACACATTTTAAAAATTTTCAGTTGAGGTACTGCAGCCTGTAACAGGCAACTTTTTGAAAAAAATTTTGCAGATCCATCCTAACCTATTATGTTGTACATTTCTGCATTTTTAAATCCATTCAGTAAATTAATTATTGTTGTAATGTGATACATTGTATTAATTTTCACTCTTAAAAAGATGCCTTCTTTCTTCTTTCTACATTTTTGGTCAAACAGTAAAAACAAGACACAACAAGTTAAAAAAAAAATTTAAAAAATCACAACAAATAACCTTCAAAAAAAAAATCTTCAGAAAAGCAAACATTTATCATTTTGTAAAGAATAATTTTGTTATTGCCTTTTTTTACTTCTCTCCTGATGAAATAGTACCAAAACATATAAATACATTACAATCAACACCACTGAAAACTACACAGAAAACAAAAAAGGGAATCACTGGTTATAATACACGCCTTTGAGCTGTGAAATCTAGTGTCTGAAAAGACAATAGATGTATAAGGTGTTTTGCTACTCGTACTTAGTGCTTGGGCCAACTGAGTCTCTCAGGTTTTTGGCAATGACATTGCTTCATCTCATTCTTCCTCCAAAAAAACAGAGGACCTTTCTTTCAAGTGTTAATGTTTATCCACTGTGAAACTTTTCATCTCTCCAGGGTGGTGTCATCAAAAATGGCAAGAAACGTGTTGGCGGCCTCTCGGACTTTTTCCTCTTCGTGGGAGGAGAGTTGTCGGGCGATGTCAGGGATACCAGAGGTCATAATCTCATCTCTCAAGGATTCTGGGAAAAAAAGAAAAAAAAAAAGAATGAATTACTTGCATAAAAAACATTTATAACCTAATACAGCTGTGGTTCTATAAATTGCACGCAAAATGTGTAAGAAAAATTACCCAATGTTACAAGTTAAATAATGCTGTGGCAATAATCTGACATAAAATGATCATTATTTCAGTTGTTTTTATCTCTGAGCTCTTTTATTTAAATAACAGAAGACATTAGTAACTATCTGTCATAACAAGTTTGGTTTTGAATTCCATATAAATTTATATAATGAACTGAGAAAATAATCTGACATAAAATTATCATTATTTCAGTTGTTTTTACCTCTGTGCTCTTTTATTTAAATAAGAGAAGACATAAGTAACCTATCTGTCATAACAAGTTTGGTTTTGAATTCCATATAGATTTATATAATGAACTTCCGATCTTTAAAGAATCCGTCTAGTTTGTTGGGTATGCCAGGGCATCAACGAAAGTTGGAAACATGGGAAAATTTGCATAAAGGGTGAAGACAATTGTGTATAGATAATCCCACATTTCCAACTGTCCTTAATGTCTCTGGCATACCACACAAACTAAAATGTGATTCCTGATATTTACATTTATATATGAAATGAAAGTGGAAATATACAAGCACTTTAAAATGAAAAAAAAATATTCATCAATTATACTGAAAAAAAAAAATTAAATTAAAAAATTATTCCACCATAAATCATCTCATATGTGAGATGTATCAGATATTCAAATTACCATAAGGCTTATTTTTTTTAAATGATAAAAAAAAACAACTTATAACTGTCATAGTTTGTACCTTGAGTAATAACAACAAAAGGGGAATGGATCACAGATACATGAAATTTTTTTTATCAAAAAGTAGCAAATAAACCTCAAGAGTGAAAAATATATTCAAATGGAAAGAGGAATAGGATTTTTCTCTATAGGGCTTTATTTGCTACATATTATTTAAAATTCAGGTACCTATGAATGGACTCGGCAAAGAAAAAAATACTGAGAAACAAAGTACATGTACATAAAACAGAAATTATTTGCTTTAAACATGCTAGGACAGGAAGACAACATAGAGTTGAATTACGTGGAATGTCAGTGGCTCGTCCAGCACAGACCAATAGTTTGCAGGAAAGGGTGTTTGGAGAAGATTGAGACACTGCAAGAAATGCCACAAAAATAGACACACAAATAACTCAAACAAAATGGATGTCCTTCTGAAATGGTGATCACCTCTATCAAAATATTTCACAAACATGTGAAAAAAATATATAAAAGTACTTGTGTGAAAGTGTCTGCATAAAATTTCTTCCTCTTTTCACTTGATTACATGATGTAATGTGAAATCACTAATTTTTACTGTGGGTTAATTTTTGTGGGTTTCATGGTATGAAGAGCCTGCAAATTCATTGTTCTCAATGAAATAAAAAAAAAATGTTGTTGTAACAACTCTTCTTCTCATGAAATAAAATCCCCATGAATCAAATGTTTTTCCTTCCACGAAAATAAGTGATTTTACAGCATACATGTATGTACACGTATAACAATGCACTACAGTCTCTTAATGTAAAGTGTACACTTGCAAAGGAGCACACACTAAATGATGGAGGAAGGCAGTACAGGAAAAAAATTTTTTAATGTATAGTGTGCATTTCATATAAGTTAAAAAAGAAAGTTTTGAAAATAATGAGCACATTGAGTGGGGTATCAATAATGGATTAGGTTAAACACAAGACACCCCGTCTCCCAAATATTTATGTTTTAATGAAAAATTCAATAAAAAAATACTGTGCATTAAAGCACATGAATTTGCTTCAGAAAACAAAGATTAAAAAAAACAAACATGTATCACAAAATACTTGAACAGTGGTGTTAAAATTGAAGAGTTATCCCTCTTGAGTCGTGCCTACCTGCATTGCAGAGAGTTTTGGTTAGCGTAAGTGTGTTGCATAATATTTCTGGCAGTGTTGATTTATTGCCAAGAAGAGATGATATGGTTTCTGTCAGTTCAGACTGTTTAAGTGGAAGTGCAGCTTCATCTGAAAAATATCACATTTCCTAATGATCACACACATCAAGCTGCAATCGGCATCATTAATGCACAATTTGAAGCTGATCAATACTTAAGATTTCAGACACCTTTGACACCTTTTACTCTGACAAACTTGATATTTCCTATCATCTCATTAATTCCCAGGAAGGAATTATCATTTTTAGTGTGCTCAATGACTCATGCACTTTATTTGAATTCTTCATCTGCAAAATCTATAAAATAGCTTCTAGGACCCCTAAATTTTATTTTTTTTTTTTGTCAATGTAACTCAGACTGGTCAAAATTGTCAATCAATTTCAAAGTCTGATGAAAACACAAACCTAATACTGTGGAACAAATTAAGGTCAAGGCCACCAGAGCCTCATTCTGCATCACCAGGTGTTCGGAGGATACCATGGCAACCAGTGGAGGGATACCTTGACATTTGATGACGTTTCTCATCAGCTCCACTGATCGACCGTTCTTAACCAGGGAGGCCAGTAATCTTGTCCCTTCACCTTTTGATAAAGAATCCATTCCTAATTAGTCATTAAAATAATTTTTAAACTGCATGTTTCAATTTCTGTTGCTCAATGTAAAGGGAAAATGATCAATTTTCACTTAATTATGTCTTTTATCAGTAGTCCTTTAGTAGAGGATGATTTTTTTTTGCACAAAACAGCAAATCTGTCATACAGTTTAATATTTTTAATTAAGCATCGAATTCATATTTTGGGATGTCTTCAGTCCTATAACACAACTGGCCATGCCGACAAATTGAATAACGCACGTTATTTGAAAATGGAATTTGTTCAATCTGTCATTCTTTTATAACTGAGCTGCCCCTTACCCTGAACCCCTGCATGTTCGTCCACCTCACACCAGCCCACTAGACGGTCCATAAACAAACGGTCAGTTCCCAACTGTAGAGCTGCTGTCTCTGTAAATACAAATGTTGGTATTATAGCTAAGAATTTTCACATTTACCCACTATGGTACATGTTGTTTTCAGTCATAGAAGCATATGCTGTATGCTTGGATTATTTTGCCCATGTAATTTCTGCCCTTTCAAGCTTCATTCATTTTTGCCCCATTTTTAAATTTGCCAAAGTTCCATTACATTTAAGAGATACTGCTGAGTGTCTCCTTTGAATTTGCCCATTCTAAATTCACCCACTGTGCACAAGGGCAAAAGGGACAAAATTTTCCTTGTATACCATTAAAAGATTAAGATATTCTTTGATATTTATATTAAACAACTTCTCCAAGAGTTATCAATGACCTTGACCTCCAGTAGACAAAAAAATTCTTTGTTGTAAAAAATATGTTTCATCTCACTGACAGATAAAAGACTTCAGAATTCCACAAACAACAGATAAATATGCAACTGCAAGTAAGAAAACATTCAAATAACATCACATGCATCTTTTATTGACCCACTGAATATAAAGTTACAAAGGATAAAGCTATCAGGGAGAGTGAAAAGTTCCCTTAAATAATCTATAATGTTCATTTTGAAAAACAATCCTAAGCCATAAACCACTAGATACAGCCTGCAGTGCATCTCTTCTGAGATCTGTAGGAAATATTTTATAGCAAACTGATTATTAGAGGGCTGAGGCAGTTCCTCGAGTTTTTTTAGGGATAAAGCTACGTGTTAGATATAAAATAGTTGTCGGATGCCTTACATCATACCCCAATCAGCTGACAACCAGTAGTCAGACACGGCTCTTATCATTACATCAGATATCAACCTTGCTGCAGAGGAGCTGATAAAAAGGGAGGTAAAAAAGGCATGTGTTGGAATGCAGGGGTTATCTCAAGAGTTGATGAATCATGACAAATCTATTTCTTTTCCTATATCTTTTATTTTAATAAAATTTAACATTTTATCAAGATCCAAGGAAGTGGAAAAAAATCTATGATTCTGGAGTTGACTTTTTAAAGATAATAGGAAAAAAAAGAAATGAATTAAAAAATTTTTACATGACCTATTTTGAAATTCTGTTTCATGATAAATTTCTGGTTAAATCATCCTTGAATTTAATTGAAATCCATCCTTCCCCAAGTTTCTGATTTTGATCTTTGTAAATTAAAAAAAAAACTGATATATTTCAATTTAAAAATACTTTTGAAGTACGAAAAATGTGAAACTTTGATGGGAAATTTCTATCAATGATATTGATTTGTGAAAGTAATTAAGTGAACTTTGTCTTGATCCATTGGTCCATGTCACTCCAACCTTAAACACACCTGAACACAGGAAGTTTATGTGGGTGGTGTAAGGAGAAGAAATCCCAATCTTGGATTCACATAACTCATCTACTCTTGTGCTATGACCAGGTGAAATGAGGGCAATGCTTTATCAGAAAATTAACTTGGCTCATTACCCCCCAGTTTTCTTTGTGATATTTCCTCCACAATTATACATTCATTTATCGCCAACAGAGAATAATATAGGGGCTTATTTTAGTCTGTACTTCTATTGGAACTGCTGCAAAAAGGCCAAGCAAATGAATCTATGTTTCTTTTCAATTTTTTTTTCCAATAGTGGACTTAAATGGTACAATATTCAGTCAGCAAACTGTTAAGAAAGTTCAATACTTTTGCATGGAAATTTATGCACAGTATATACAGCAAAACAAACTTATCATAAATTGATGCTTACAGCAAAGTGATTTTATTATCATTGACTTTAAAATATATTGTAAACCTTACGAATAATATAAGAATAACGCTTATAACAAAGCAAAGAAGTCCATTCCTGGCACTTCGATTTTTTTCTGTGCATGTTTTACTGCAATGACATTTTCTATTCACTTTTTATAGCTGTATATTGCATTAAGGGGATGAAGGACCTTTAGCTGAAAAAATACCTGTCTTTCAATTTTTTTCATATTTTGTATATCTCTTATTTAGTATGTCCCACATACCTTAAAGCATATATATCAATAGGTTTCTAGATTTATTTCTGAGATATTGAGTGACAAATACTGTGCCCAACAGTGTCTGAGTATATGGGCCCATTACTCGGTTGATAATTGAATATTTTCAGCATAGATAAAAATACGTCAGCAAAAACGTGTCTTTTAAGATATTTCGATGTATGAGTATGGTAAAAAATCGAAAAAAGCAAGATTCTTTTGTCACACCGCATCTGGAGACGGAAAATTACGTTCTTTTTAAGACAACTTAAACGACAAAAAAAATTAATTTACAAAAAATCCTATCATTCAATATTTGAAAAATTACGTCGAAATGCAAGTTCGTCATGTTATTGATTAACTACAAAAATATCAATTGGTGAAGCTGAGCTCAATATTGCACAGGGTATAGTTAAACAAGACATGAGCATTAGAAAAACGTGTCATGTTTACATTTCTCGAATACGGGAAAACCCTACTGTGACGTCACACATATGCGAAATAAGCTAAGTAAGACATAAATTCAATATATTTCCGTCAACAACCATGTAAAAATATTTTTTGTGTTCTGCAATTCATAAAATATCCAACCATGTACTGATCATGACCTGTTTTTATGATATCATACTACCCTGCATATAATCTTACTGTACTAAGATCCACTATGATGTCAGCGACTCGTTGGACACGCAGTGTAGGGAAACAGAAGAGTGGATCAATATATTCCATAATTTGAAAATATTTGCAAGAAAGTTTGAATGTTTTTAGATATTTTTATGCAAGATGGTGAACTCAAACAAACAGTTATTTTTTCCCCAAATACTGTGGTTTCAATCTGGTTTTGTACATATTTTATCAGAGATTATGACGTAATTAAACTGAGTCACGTGACCAAACGTCCTTCGTCCCCTTAAGGCATAAATACATAAACAATACTTGTAAATACTAAGAGTGCAAAAAGCTCCAGACAGCAATGATAAACTAAGAATGGTTTAAGTGTGGCCTGACTCTGAGATCATCATTGAATACCTCAATGTAACAGGCTGCTACAGGCATGTGTCTGCTTGTTATCACCAGAAGTAAGAGTGATAGATTCTCCCCTATCACAACAAAACATATAATGCCTGACACTCATACATCAAGAAGATTTCAATCTTGGCAAAAAAGTTACCAACCTTGGAGAAAGTTTTAATAGACTTGCATGAAAATAACATTAATTTCCTCTTTCTATTTCAGATTCCTTGGTAGTTGAGATAAAAAAATGTTGCCCTCATCAATTCATACAGGTATTGGCTAACTATTTGACATATATAACTCCAAATATTTATTCATAATAATTCTCAAATAGGAACAATATTTTTAGGATTCTGTTTCTCTTTGGTAAAAGCCCAACTATGCTTTCATTATTGAAGTAAATACCCCCACGTACATCCTCCCTTCCCCAAAATTGGTTATAGAGTGACTGTGTCTGCGGTAACTTCATCATAGCAGTATACAACAGAAGCAAATCTGAATGCACCTATACCAAACAGGTTTCATCATCATCATTTCTCCATGACCATTAACTGACCAATTGACCAAAATAACTCAATTATTGGCCTCATATATAGCACTCTCCCATCCCAAAAATTTTGTACAATGTAATCAATGAGAAATAGGGCAGGAATTTAATTTTTGCTATTTCTTTTGGATGAATCAGGTTTTGCTTGTTAATATAATAGCCATTATAGACTGCCACACACAAACACACACACACCATATGTTGTCTTGGTCACTGACCATTCAGTGACCAATCAGGACAAGATCTCTCACCTTGACCGTCCACCAACATTCGGAGAACACCCAGGAGTTTGAACACAACGGCCATCGTCTCCGAGGACATCAGAAGTAGGACCGTCTCAAGGACGCCCGCCATTAACAAGGCAGGCTTATTTCTGGCTGCAACAGAAAAACACAAAACAGTCATCATTTGGAGAGTTTCCATAACCAATATCAAAGAAGAAATGCCATTGTGAAAGCATTTATAATAAATCTTGATCACCCCCACCCCATTATCTTTGAAAAATTGTTCATGTTCTTCATGGTTAAGTGAATACATTGTTTTTCTTGGCAATTCTTTCTAGCACAAAGGTAAAAGTATCTTACTTAACCAAAACCTTTTTTTATTGAATGCACCATGCCAATTTTTTCAATATATCATAAGAAAGTAGGTCAGGAGAATTCCATTACAATTCCTTTGTTGTCTTCTTAGACACAATTATACAAAACACACTGATTTATTGACTACCAGTACCACAACAACAGGAAGTAAATGGTAGTGCTGTATTTTCTACAGACAGATTCCTGCTAGTAATTAAGACTAAGTAACAATAACAAATTCATAACATCTCTGGAATCTCTTCCTGGTACTTGTGTGTTGAGCAATAATGACTTTGTTTTGTCCTATTGCTGTAAAACTGTTGCTGCCAAACAACTAAATGCAACAGGTTGCTGTTCTTCCTGCCTATTGTATATTGAACAGTCCATACACTTTATACCAAGTATTGTACATGTCAAGGGTTAGGCCATGGAAATCACCTGGGTAGCTCAGTAGGTACAGCACCTAAATAGTGATTAAGAGAACCAGGGTTCGATTCTTGGTTCAGCCATATATTTTCTCTCCTCCTAGCTGTTATTATTTGGTACTATGACCAGAATTCAAACCTACGTTGTTGTGGGAGTTAAGGTTTAGACATTGCTATACATGGAGCTAGCTTTCCGAGACAATGATATACCTGGAATAGCTAGGATTCTGACACAATAAGTTACCTGGAATAGCGAAGTTTCTGACAATGATATACCTGGAATAGCTAGGATTCTGACACAATAAGTTACCTGGAATAGCAAAGTTTCTGACAATGATATACTGTAAACCATCTTTTATTCGCGTGCGAGAAATTTTCGCGAAGTTCGCGAGAGCCTCGTCATCGCGAATATTTCTCGCCGTGAACCGGTCCTTAGAGTGTATGTGTCTATTAACAACAGATCCAAAAAGGCTTTATCGCGAAAATAAATCGTAACTAGTTTATCGTGGTACAATGAATAAAAGTTGGTTTACAGTACCTGGAATAGCTAGGTTTCTGACACAATGATATACCTGGAATAGCTACAATGATATACCTGGAATAGCTAGGTTTCTGAGGGCACTAAGGATGGCATGATGTAATGTCATGTCTGCCTCATGGTCTCTGTGAGATTTCAGTAATTCTAGCAGTTGTTCTACAATCCCCTCCTCAACCAGTCTTTGACAATGGTTATCTGTAAACAGAAGCAAAATGAAAAGCATATCTTTCCTGCAAAAAGCCAAAATCGACATTGATTTTTAAGCAAAAAGGTGAAATGTCAATCTTTCTTTTTTTTTTTTCATCTATATTTTAGGTCTTTCACCCTCAGGTCAAAGACATACATTTCCCCAATTAGCTTATTTATTTGAACTTTTGTGCTTAGAAAGCATGAAATCTAAAAGTTTTGGATGTACAAGTGACAATATATACTCCAAAGTATTGACTATTCTATCATATAATTGTAGTATCTGACCATTCCTGGCAAAGTTGCCTATGGCCAGGACGGCAGCCATTTGTAGCCGGCTGTCTTCATCCTCCAGCCACTTGACCGACTCCACAAACACTGGACCCTCTCCATTGGCAAACATGGCCTCCGCTCCTTTGTCTACATTAAATAATCAGTGACATTTACAGACAATAATGATTTATCAATCTAAAGTAAAGAAGCAAGACATTTACCGAGGCCGAATTATTTTTTTTATTCATGAGAACTTTATATTTCGTAAGTATGGGAGATCATAAACTCAAGAAAATTTCATTCTTCATATAATTCCAGAAAATTGCCACACAAGAAATGTTAAGCATTTCAGTTCTATGTTATAAATGAACTACCTGTATTCTGATAGTGCCTACCTCCAGTTAGTAGGAGAATCAGTAGATCGGAGGCCATCTTGATGAGCTGTTGACTCTCGGGGTCCAGTTTGCCCTGGTTGACTTGTATGATCTGAATCAGGTTGTTACTAAGGCTGGTCTCTGCTAGGAGATCCTTCACTTCATCTGACAATAAACAGAAAATTATCTTATAGTTGGCTAGGATTAAACAGATTAGAAATAAACAGAAAATTACCCTACAGAGGCCTAAAAATCATCTGACAGTAATCAACAGATTAAAAAAAAAAAAGAACAAAATATTTTCACTTGTCAACAATTAATGGGGAAAATCTTGAATAGTCCCATGAGACATATCTTTTTGCCAAGAAAAATCCAATGACTGTTAAAATGGGAAAATCTTGAATAGTCCCATGAGACATATCTTTTTGCCAAGAAAAATCCAATGATTGTTAACAGTGATTAGTGTGAGAATTTTTAAAATTTAAAAAATCAAGACAGATGTAACATTGAACACCATACATTTAATCAGACATGTACTTAATATCTCTCTCTCTAATCAGATCATAACAATTAAATGACATTCAAACATGTCAGCAAGTACTTCACATATAATCAAAAATAATCAAAAATAATCTTCCCCTCTCATCCATGCCACATAAAATATTACATAACAAGTTATAAATAAATTGCTGTTGCTTTTTAGGTGACCATTCATCTCCGGAGCAAAAAATTGCTCAAAGCAATTAAAAAAAGACTGAATCACGTCAATAAGTGCTTTATTTAGAATTACAAATATCCAAAATAATCTTTTGCTCTCATTTCACTTCACTGAAAAGATTATCTCACAAGTTATTTATGTACAGTAGCTGAAACTAGATGACCATTCTCTCTCTCTGATGAAAAAATTGATCAAGTGTTGAGATGGAAATGAAATGCAAACATTGAGGTAATAGCAATATGCAGAAATGAAAGACATATTTTCAGTGTTATGATTGAGCAGGCTTTCTCACACTGTCTAGACTCTCTATGATAGTTTGGAAATGAGGTCTAAGCTTATTTATTATGCAATATAATTCTGTAAATATGGCTACCATTCTTTGTTCAATCTGACACTCACAGTCTAGATATTCAAAAGATCAGGAAATTCTAACAGAAACAGAAACTGTTTATTAGACACCTACTTCATTCATATATAGAGTATTTAGGAAGTCTAACATTGTCTAGACACCTATCCCAATCAGAAATACTGATGGAAAGGTCTTACATTGTTTAGAAACCTTCTCCATTCAGACAGATTGAAAAGGAAGTTTCACACTGTCTAGTCACTTGCCCCACTCTGATTAACACTGTTTAGACACCCATTTCAAATGTGATTATCACTGTCTAGACACTTACCCCACTCTGATTAACACTGTCTAGACACTTAGCCCACTTTGACTAACACTGTCTAGACACCTACCACACTCTGACAGATTAATAAGGAGATCTACATATATGACTGTCTCCTGATACACCTCTTTATCATTGTCTAACACTGCCCTAACAACTACCCCATTCTAATAAACACTGTCTAGACACCTTCCCCACTCTGATTAACACTGTCTAGATACCTTCCCCACTCTGATTAACACTGTCTAGACAACTACCCCACTCTGATTAACACTGTCTAGATACCTTCCCCACTCTGATTAACACTGTCTAGACACCTACCCCACTGACAGATTAACACTGTCTAGACACCTACCCCACTCTGAGAGATTGATGAGGAGATCTAGGACTGTCTCTTGATACACCTCTCCAGCATGCGTGTCCAGCAATCTCACAATGGTTGACAACAAGGAAGACTCTGAGAATTTCTGACGACAAATCTCTGAAATTATAAAAAAGAATTCAGATATTTATTAAAATAACACCAATATTATGCAAAAACAAATTGTTACATTGAAAATAGTATGTATTTAGTTGATCTAATGTATCTTATTTTCAGATTTACATTGTGATATATACATCAGAAGAATGAAAGGTGAAAGACCATTCAGTTTTTCACAATAATAAAGACAGGACTGTGTTTCTTCACTTTTGCAATTCTAGAAAACCCAGTTGAAAATAATCAATTTTGACTATAATTTGTAATTTGAAAAAAATACAGTATGTTTATTAAGCTTTTTCAATTACTATATGTTCTGCATTTTATTACTCTTTTCAGATTTTGTCAATACATTTTCCTTTTTTATGTCCAACATGCAGTGTCTTATTTTTCATTAAGTTTGCTAAAAAGTAATAAAGTTAGTAATAAAAGGCTAATAATTTGTAAGACTATTGAACAGAAAATATTGTTTCATTTGTTAACAAATATGAAAATCAAAATCCTTTTAAATTTAGAAAACTTTTCTTCAAAAATTAAATATTTATTGTTAATTAACAAATTATCAAGTACACATTAAAGGACCACATAAATTGTGATGTGTGCTTATTTTGCAAAATCTATATAAACATGATAAATGTCTAATAATTATTCTACTATGGTAATTGTTTTTTTTATTTCAAAGCAAAGTCACACAGCAACGTTATATATCTCCATATCCCTATACCATACATACATTAGATATATTTTTCAAAACTTCTGTTTTACTCCAAAACTGATTTTTATGGTTAAAGAAATGCTTAAATTTGACACTGGGTAAAATTACACTTCAAAATCATCTTTTGATGGACATAATTTTATATGGCCTAAGTTTGCTGAAAAGTAATAAAGTTAGTAATAAAAGGCTAATAATTTGTAAGACCATTGAACAGAAGATACTGTATTCATTTGGAACATGGGAAAATCAAAATCCTTAGATGTCTGCAATAATTTCGAAATCTAAAGGACCACAACAGATGCCAGCCAATGTGTGCATACTATGGTAATTGATTCAGTAACACATCTCATACTTCATTAATTACATATATCAAAATTTGACCAAAACTCAATTAATGTCCATTGCCAATCATTAACCTCGGATATAAAGCAATAGTACTAACCTGAATCAATAAAGCTTCCCACGGTCAGCAGTACCATGTTACAGAGTCTACAGTACTAACCTGTTACAGAGGCGATAGTACTAACCTGTTACAGAGGCGATAGTACTAACCTGAATCAATAAAACTCCCCACGGTCAGCAGTACCATGTTACAGTATCTATAGTACTAACCTGAATCAATAAAGCTCCCCACGGTCAGCAGTACCATGTTACACAGTCCGTGGTCCTCCTGGTGGTACCTGATGTACTCATCAAGGACGTCCAGGGCACCACCGTCTACCGCCTTCTGCATCAGGCCATCTATAGAAGATAACAATGGGTGGGTCACTGTGAATCTAATGCATGAAATATGGAGATAAGGATCAGCATGAAAGGTCAAAGTCCAGAGCAGAGTGAACAAGGACCTCCAAAGACATAAGAGGCAGGATCAGGTGTCATGGAGGAGTAAGCATCCCCTGTTGGGACATACTTGCTCCTTGTTTATCTGTATTTCCATGAACTAAAGTGACATACTGTATTTTGAAGCTAAATAAAACACTATTTCTTTATTAATAAAACACTGTTTATGAATATTAAATGTTTTCATTTATACCCTCAAGTACAATGTATACACATTTTATTTATATTCTATATTAAAAAAAGATTATTTATCATGATTGAAAAAAAAAACTAGTTTAGTAAGAATTAAATGTGGATATGTGTCCATAAGACTTTGTTATAAACTATTTTCTTGTAATCACAAGAGAAGAGATAAACCATCAAGTCACATTTTGATAAAGTAACTTTGACATATGTGAGCATGATTAACAACACTTTTCTTCTCTGGAGCTTTTCCATTATGACGTAACAAAATTACTTTGACAAGATAATCCAATATCTGGCACACATATAGCGTTTCTTGTCAAGGAAAAAAAAAGAGGAAAGATTCAATAAAAATCCTACGACTTCTACAAAAAAAAGAAAAACTTGCTCCCAATTTTTCATCTTTACAAAACAATTTTCCTAATAAGAAAATTCATTCTGTCAATAACGTGACCTTTTGACTGGCAGGGGTCAGGAATTGCGTAAAATCAAGAAAGAAATAAGATCATTGTCTCCGATTTTCTCGTTGATTCAACTCATTACGACAGTGCAGGTGTCACAGATAGCTGCTGAATAGCATCTCTGTAAACCGATGTGATTTGTGTAATAACCACTACTGCGATTCTAGCTAGGTTACGTAATTAGATCAGTCCTTGAGACAAGAAGGAGAGAATCTTGTCTGCTATTCTGACAGACCAATTCTTTTTATTCTTTTCAGACATCAAATCAGTTGAGAATGAGCTGGTTGATAGCTATAGAACATTGTATTGAAAATGTTCGTATATAAATGAATGCTCTGGAATCACGAGGAATCATTGTTTGTTGATTTTGTAGGTCATCTCTACTCCTAAACTTACACCCCCACTAAACTTTGTTTGTGGAGTGACTGGGTGGGGGGGGGGGGGGGGGGGGGGGGTTGGAAGGGGGGGAGGGGGGTTATAAAAAATTGTCATTTCTTTGACAGTCATTAGTGCTATACATTGACCCCTGTCTTAAATTTAATTTAATTTAATTTTTTTAAATTTGCATAAACATAAAAAAACTGAATATTTTTCTTTTCCACCAGCCTTTTGGCTCACTTACCATGTGTATTGGTGACATTCAAAAGGATTAGGAAACCACAGGCAATGGTCTGGGGGGCAGTATGTCTGCCCCCCCACTTTTCAATGAAGAAAAAAAATCCTCCTCTGTAGGAAATGTCTTGACATGTTCCCTAGTATAGTGATAACAGTTTGGAAAGGAAGAAATAACAGAATGCCTTTGAAATCATTTTCATCCACTGCATTTCTTCCAAGATCTTAAAATATATTAAGAAAATATTTTGTCAATAAAACTTTCAAAAGGATTAGTGGAGTAATGTATTGAATGAAATCTACAAAAATAAAACCTATCACCTTTCGATTGCAATAGGCAGGAATAGTGAAAGAGTCTGCATGTTTACAGCTGCCTTTGCATTTTTTTCCCTATCAAGTTTATTTTTGCAATTTACTCAATATTATCTTTCTCAGTATTAATTTGTTATTTTCTATCACCTGTCTTTTTTAACTGCACATGCAGAATTCATTTTTTTATTATATTTCATAGCAATACCTTACAAAACTGAACAAGTTTTCAAATCTCATGTGCATGCACACTTTTTTCCCTTCAATATTTTTTCATAATGATTATATGTATCTTGAAGGTTAATTATATCTTTCATCGCAACCAATCACAACAGAGTACATGTATAAAGAACACCACTTTTACAGTGTCAATTATAAAGTTTTTTTTATTAAAAACACAAACAAGATACCATTATTTCGACACCCTGTAAAACCTTATCTAGAAAAGAACACAGAACTGTTTTTCTTAATTGTTACTTTGGCCAAACCGCAATCCTGCATTGCAAAGTCTGGCATGTCTGAAAGCCATTGTTGCAGGAACAAAGGTCCAATGAAGAGACCAAAACCAGCTCTTAAAGGAATAATTATCTCTGAATTTCCTGCTACAGGACCAATCTCTGTCAACCTACACAGCCCAATTACCAATCAATACACTTTTCTAAAAAAGGGTCGGCTATTTCACCGTGAAAAGAGAGATCATATTGGGTTACTTAATATGCAATTATACATACTAAGAGGGAGAAAATCAAATCACTTTCATTCTTGAGCCATTCTAGTTCTCTGGCAAAAACATTTTTTGTATGTTAAATTTATTCTTAAAAATGCTTTCATAATGAAATCATCCAATATGACTTTGACACACAAAATGTACTTGCTTCTAAAAGTGAAAAAGAAGATAAAAGAAGATGACAGTTGCAGACACAAAAAATTGTAATCTTTCTGAATCCTTGCATCTATACAACTCCCTTCAGGGAAAGTGGGCACTTAGTCTTTTCATCAAGTTTGACATTCAGGTTCTTAGAACCATTTTTATATATATTTGAAATTGAATTTGTCAATGAACTGGTCCTAAAAAAATAGGCTCAGTGAAACAGTACAACTCATGCCCAGATATTAGAAGTTTGTACCCTGTGTTCTGAATTTAATAGAATTCTCAGCACCAAGGGGATTACTAATTTCAGCATTTTTCCTGGAATGCCTTCCTTTATACCTCTATATCTGTTACTTTACGATAGACAGGAATATAATCCCATGTATGCATATTTAATCTTGGGCCTCACATTTACTTCGTTTCAAAGAGAATTCTGATCAAGACAATAGAATAAAAGGAAATAAACAGATAACAGATAGAAATAGTCCAACTTAGAAGGAACTGCAACAGAGAGAGAGAGATCTTCCTTTAATGCAAGTAATTTATAGCTAATAATTGCTGAAGATAACCCTAATTTCCTGCAATAATTCAAGGTCAGCTGGAATTGTTTTATAAATTGCCAACTATCTACACATCAAATGAAGAGAGAGAAAAATGTCTTGATCTGCATTCGGAAAAGGTCAAAGGTGACTGGAAACGCTCCAAGGAAATTATAGGGAGGATGTAAATAGAAGTGAAAGCTAGTAAATGAATGATAAAGAGAATTTAATTCTCCTAGGGATACATGGCACTCTTTCTCTCTTGAAGAAAGGGTAGAAATTGAAGGAGAATCATTACTGAAGCATCCAAAGTAAATAATAAACAACCATTACCAGTCAAGGAAGAAATGAGTGCATTTATCTTATTCCCTCATATTCTACACCTTACGGCATTCTGTTAACTTTTGAGTTCATTACAAAGGGTTTTTTTCATTTACAGTGGAAGCCTTAGAACATACAGTAATGGTGCTATCAACAGCTAGGCTGACAAGGGTTCTCAAAGCACATTCTCCAAGCACAAAGAAGTGATTTTCAGAGAAAATGAGAAATTATCATGAAACATCAATGCCATTTTTTCCCCATGAAAATTGTCAAAGTGATTGTTTCAGTATTGAAGTAAAAATATTGCAGCAGCAAGGTAGCCAAATGCTTATTCTTGCAATATACAAAGATTAGGACATCAAAATATATTGGCAACTTGCATCAAATATTCCTCCCCCTCATAACAAAAACTACTTAACTCCATGCTAGCTTAAAACTAAAAGCATTAGCAAAATCTTTATTCTAGTGCATAACAAATGGCATGTCTCGTATTTCAAAAGTTCATCTATACCCCAAGAGAACACATGCAATTCCCTGCATTAAGATAGTTTACAGCATAAGCTTTACAGCAACAAATTATTTCTTTACATAAAAATAAAAGTAATGCACAACATCAATCAAATGGGAAAGAAAAAGTGACCTTGACCTTTCATTGTAACCTAGTTAAGCAGGAGTTTTCATTATTCTAGCATTACTTGCATGACAATGAATAAAGAGTAATAAAAGTCTATTTTGGGAAGAAATATTGAAAAAGGCATCAACCCTGGAGCTTCTGACTCAGATCTTCACAAGACATAATTACACAAAACACTGTCTGATTATAAAACATGCCTTTTCTACACAATAAAATGCACTTAGTACACAAAGTTATAGATAATTCTGTGGTATCATAATTTACATAACAACCCAAAGAGGGGCATATGAACAAAAATCTACATATGTAAGCAAGTAAATTGACTTCCATGGTACCCCCATGATGACTAAAATGAGTTTTAATCAATAAGAATAAGACTTTTTAGCAAAATATAATAATAAAAAAAAAAATACTGCAAATACTTTAAAACCGACTCTTTACATTGGTGTGTGAAAAATATCCAAAAGATCAGTTTGACTTTTTTTTTAAAAACATCGATTTGCCATTTTTTCTCTTTATGTTACTCTACAGGTACATGTAAATGTACCTGGAAACGTACCTGTATCAAAATTTTCCTTGTCTAAAACATGATAATTTATATACCTGGTACTTTTCTTTTTACGATTTGTTATCTGTATTGCTCAAGTTGTTGGAATGATTTTCATCAATAAACTGATATTTATAAATCCATATAATGGTATATTTTTCCGTTTTAAAACCTAGTGGGAATTGACTTCTTTGCAGCAACTGACACTGCCATTTTCCATTGACAACTGATATTTCCTCTTCACCCATCCTTATGACACCTACTTTTCATAAAATCTATGAATGTTTCAGCAAAAAATGAAAAGAAAAAAAAGGCTGAACTTCATCAATCCCAAAAGGAAGACCACTGACAACTTGTGAAATTAACTTCTCATTTTGTCAATGGAAATGTAGGAATGGTTTCTTTTGGACAATTATTTTTTGTGGTGGATTTGGTACAGTACTCCAAAGGATTTCCGTGAAAGGAAACAAAGTAATTAAAACCGCAAACTATCCTAGCTAATCAAAGAAAGGGAAAAAAACAACATGAGCAATCACAAAAAACAATGTCCTATGTGAACTTTGTAAACAAGAAAAATTCTGAAAGGATCGAAAGATATTGTTGATTCAGATGCATATAAGGAGAAAAGAAGAATGTTTTTGACAGCCAATACATGACAAGCCATCTCACTTTTTTCCTTAACATTAGAATATATTCAATGTTTGAAAATGAGCTATTACATCAGATGAAAAACCATTGTCATGTAGTAGATCACATTCTGTGTATTTTTTATGTCTATTCTTTTGTTACCCACCGTTTTCGAAGCAGATATTTCCGAGGGCACGACAAGCCTGCGTAGCCATTGTGATGTCATCAGATTTCAACTGCTGCAGAAGAATCGGAATAAAGCCTTGGATGACACACGGCTCTCTGATGGACTCTACAATAATAAGACACATTCATTGTCAACATCTCACCACAAGTACAATCTAATTTCCTGAAGTTCACAGAAAATATTAACAGATACAGGTAAACAAACCTCATTTCTTGAAGTTCACTGAAAATACTTTATTTAACAGATATATATAAATAAACTGAAATGGGGAAAAAAAGAAATCCAACGGGTGATATGTAGAAAGGGTCTGATTTAGCATCTAAAATATCAAACTTAGTCACAACTTTCTATATACAGTGACACCTGTCTAACCTGAAATGCACTAGTGGGAAAAATTTGTGTTTGAATAGACAATGAGCCAGACTACATAGTGTAAATAACATGAAGATAGTTAAATTGGAATCAAAAATAAAAATCAGAATTCACAGCAAAATGGATTCCACAGGTGTCATATTAGATGGGTTACACTGTATTTTAAGTCTGTTTTTTTGCATTCTATTGTCATGTTTAGGTTCTTTTTTATATATATATACAGGTTTTTCATATACCTGTAATACATATTAAATACTTCGTGCACAACCTATAATTACTTCTCTGTTAAAAGAATTGTCAATTGATGTTATCAAGCAATGTTTACTTTTTGCACCAAGATTTGTACTCAAAGAAGACAGGTTAACAAAGTGAGCAAAATGCTTATTGTGAAACTAAAAAAATAAAAAATCAAATCTCACTAAAAAATTTTCTGTATACTTCATATAAAATCTCTAAAAATTGCAACAAAGACTATAATTATATTGGTCTGCAAAAAACATATTCTACACAGACCAAAGAGGGCCAAAACAATCAATTCTTTATACTATAAAGCAATTTTTCCATATGCTTGGGTCTTAGCTGCAATTTTTATTAAAAAAAATTATATGTAGTTAACATTTGTGTTTAAATAAACATTCTTCAGTTAACAAAAAAAAAAAAAAAAAAAAAGATAGAGCAAAGGTCAAGTGTACCCCTAAAAGTACACTCTTTCCCAGAATTACTTGAAACTACCGGTAGTCCATTTAGTCAAGGGTCATATCATAAGCATGATTCAAATGCCAATATTTGATATGAGGACTCAGGAGTTATAGCATAGTGGTTAAAAGTATGTTAGACTTGAGGGGAAATTTAATATAAAGAAATTTTGTTGCTCAGGTTTGAGTCCCAGGAATACAATTTTTTTTTTCAAATTGGAGAAATGATTTTGCTGAAAGAATCATATGGAGAGAAGTTTTGTTTGCTATAGTTTCAAACCTTTCAATGCTCTGAGCTTTACTCTGAATACTACATTCACAAATAAATGAATATGAGTTTAATGCATTTGAAGCTATAAGCATTTTGCATTTTTTGTTCGCCCAATACATGTATCTCCTTTTTGTACTTAAATTACAATAGATATACATGTAATGAATAAAATCTAAATTCATTGATCTTTTTCAAGAAGAAATTATGCACAAATCACTTCATGTTTAAGACAATTAAACAAGAAAGATATGTATACTACGTAAAATCAACTAATTGGTATTTGACTTTGACAACCAAAATCAATATATATTTAATCTTTCTAATCTAATTTCTAAAGGATTAGCTTTAAAAAAGCTTAATTGAAAAGTGCTGTACAAATAATATATAGAGACCCCCATGATAGAATAATTAATTGGTAGCTGCTTAAATTTTCTTTCAACCTTTGTCCTTAAAAACCCAATCAAATAACAACTAGTCTATGTCTAAATTAAAAAAATAACTAAATTAAAAGTTCGTGAAGCTTTGGATATCCAGCTTAATCTGTTCGCAGAGGCCTTGAAAACTGATTAAGTGTAACAAGATAATTGAATTTCCCAGATGTTATGAAACGATATTTCATGGAAAGAGAAAAGGGTACCATGATTGTTGTATAGAGTACATGTAATTGTACTTTATTGGAGAATGACTCAGTGCGTTAATGGCGGAGTCTACTTTGAGACTGTACCGAGAGTCTAGTCTGCAGTCAATATTAATGAGCTCCGATTTTTAATCATCACACCAACTGATAATCTATGAGCAAATGGTACCAGTCAAGTGCTCAAACCATGTATGCACATATCTGTCGAGACTGGGGAAGAAAAAAAGAAAATTTTAGAAATACCTTATAAGAAGAAATTTTTTGAGACACCAATTTAGCAATTTATCCTAAAAAATTTATATAGATCTTTAGCTTTATATAGATCTTTAGCGAGAAGTAATTTCAGGGATTTTATAATGCTCAATAAAAAATTCATTTGCAAAAAATTAATTGTTAGCAAGATTCAATTTTACCGATCTCAGCACCCTCGCTAATAATGCCGAAATTGAATCCTTGCTTAAAATTCTGCTTATACGCTAACCGCTATTGTGAATTGTGATCAGGGTTAAATGTTGTACCTGTTTTGCCGAGTTCTGCCAGAATTTGGATGACCTTGCATAATGTACCATTAGAGGTGTGTGTCATAATGTCATAAAGATCTCCCAGCATGCCTTTCTCCACAGCGGCTTCCAACGCTTGGTCCAAATCCTCTTCTGTTAATAAAAAACAAAATTTCTAAATGAATCAAAATGCAATTTAATAAATACTAACTTTCACCATAAAGTTGAGTTTTCCTCATTTATGAAATACAGACACATTATTGATTTGTTTATAATGGGATTCTGGACAAAAAATCTTTTAGTTTTATATCTATGCATATTGTTTATTATATTTTTGTAAGAATCAATATATGTGGACATGTAGTCAATGCTAATTTCTCTTCTGTATATTAATGCCTGCATGTAGTACACAAGTTAGTTTTCAAATAACTTGAAGGTAAATGGCATTACAAGCATCACCACTGTACCATTACCACTTAATATTATGGCTATTAGTTTGGTTCCATGCACTTATTAATACGTGTATACCGGTATACAGTCTAACCTTGTTATCTCAATTCAATGGGACTGAGAAAAAACCCTGAGGATTCAAGTTATCCAGGGTTCATCCTTAAAGATTTGGAGGGGGGGTTTGAGACCTCCCAAACACTTTGACATTATCCATAATTTTAAAGATATCGTGATTTGAGATACAGAACTTACAACTAACCTTCCAACAAAGAAAAGTAGAATTGAAGTCCATCACACGTAAAAGAACAAGCATCTCCCCATTGCTTCCTATTTAGGACTTAAAGTAACCAGTGATTGTTTTTTTGCTTTTCTGATCTCATTATTGCTTTTAATCCACTTTAAAACCTGCAAAGAACTTTTATTTTATGCCTTAACTTAGCATCAATTAACCGAAATAACAAGTGCCGTAAGCACTGATTGGGCAACCAAACATTTATTTCAAGCACACCTTGTAAAATCCCACTAATTAACAATCGTCAATAATGCAGAATGCAGTCTTAATTGCCCCCCAGTGCTCAAAGCAGTTAAAAACCCATGTACAGAAAGGAAAAAGGAATATCATTGGAAAAACCCTGCAATTACAAAATAATACAGAGCCATAACCAATGCAAACCCCACTATTATTTTCCTATCAATAAAAAAAATAACTGTTTTTAATACAAAATGCCTCAATAACTGATGGTCAATACCTAATCAGGCAATAAAAATAATCTACCGATTTAATCAGTGATGCATAAAAAAGATTTAAATCAGAACTTGATACCTACCATCTTGTTCGATCAGGAGGAACTTGAGGATTCGGTCCAGACATTTCTCGGGTTCGTCCGACGTCACCCTCAGACTCTCGACCATATTCAGGATGTCCTCCGTTTCCTCCGCTGGACAAGATAAAGTAGACTCCATCATTTTTATGCTTAACTAAACACACACAAAAATAGCTAATGTATCAGGCCAAATGTATACACATACACACACACATTAAATCAATGTCCTTTGAATGAAGGGTGAAAAGAAATATTTTATATTTGTCAATCTAATAATGATCTCTTTAATCCCGATCTGATCTGGTGGGAATGTGACACTCCATACAAAGCTATCTGTATTTGTGTGAAGAGAAAATCTCCAATGCTGGCAGTCTATAGTCAATCATCTTTTTTTTTTCCTGCCGGGCATTTAAAATTACAAATACGGAGCCCACTGCTCCCACACTAACGGTAGAAGTTTATGCCGGGATTTTCTTTCATTGATGGAGTGACGGAGTAAGAGTCACAGAAACATTTGTCTACCCAATAATTTGCCTCCAGGAATATTCATAACTGCAATGACTATGGGTCAGCAAAGGTCACATCCCTGATGCCAGTGCTTTTTCTACAGAATAAAAATTCCTTCATACCCCTATTGTGCAATAAACTCACTCACATTGATTGTTTTAAAGGCTACGACAACTAATCGCATTTCCTAGGAAAATCGAAGTCAAATCCTTTCAGTGCGATAATTTGAATTTAGAATCTTTGCAGTAATGAGGATAAATGCCTCCCATTAGACAATCCTAAATTAATTTTTTACAAGTTACGGAGTCAAAGGCGATTGAGACATTTTATCTTGATCCTGTAGGATGGACTCGGAAGAATTCAGCAGCATATATTTCAGTTTAATTGCCTTAGTAACGATACTTTTATCAGGATATTCATTGACATTTAGACTTTTATATCGTGTCTCTCCACAAATCTCCCATCAGTAGCAGTGATGAAAATCAATTTTTTGAATTTGTTTATATGTTTACCAAATAAATCCCAATTCAAAACATCACCAGTCCAGCAATGGAAAGATTTCAAAAAGAAGTCTTGGGGCTTCGTTCTCCTGAAATGTATAGTTCACATACTCTAACTCATTGATTCCAATACTTCATAGGAAATGAAGGATACATTAAATAAAATAGCATTATAATACTTATTTGCTAAAGAATTGTTCTTTAAGCTTATTCCCACTGGAAAAAAAAAATCTATGAAACTTGATCCCCCTGATGGTGATGTATGCATAAGGCTAAGCTCATTATATTTCAACCTTCCTTTGACTTTATCTCAAGACTTAAGATCCAGTGATTAAAGTTTCTCTTAAATAACCTTGACATGCACTGACCTTGACCAAAATACATCCCAGAAATTAAAAATTCAGAATTTAATACCCAAAACAGTATTTCCCAGGGGCTTGCCTGAGTGGAACAGGTCCTGTCAAAGATTTAATGAAAAATCTATCCTACTCACGACAGCATTTTAATATACCTGGTATACTGAATGTGGTTTTTCTGATGTCTGAGGGGTCAGGATTGCACATTTTAGCACACCCTACCTCTGTGGAACTCTCAGTGTTGGAGAGATAAATCTGAACAATTACATTATAGGAAAATTAAAACTGGAGTCAAAATATGAGCAAAAATTTTCTTAAGGGGTGATTAGCACAATTTTACTCCAAAATATAGCTTTGCTATGCATGATAATTTTTAGACTATGAAAATAAGTTATTTTTCCTCCTGAAAGAAGAAAAGAAAAAATAAAGTATTCAAAACTCTGCATTCTGGAAATAAAGATGTAGTTCACAAATAAGAAAAATAGCTATTACATATATAGTTACCTGAAGTATTTACTCATACATGTACCAGTGCAAAGCCAATGATGTACAATATTAATACATCACAAGAATAGCTTCTCAAAAACAGACTTATCTGTATTTTCCCAAGGGAATTCTTTTTTCAATGACTTATATTGTTCCAAGATCTTAAAACAAAGTATTGGCACAAAAATCTACAAAACAAAATATAATCTGCTCTTTGTCTGAAGTGCACCATACTATAACTTCAGAATTACATGTGTAACATTGTTCGAAAGATATTGCTATGGTAACTTCAAGTAATATTTTCTAGGAAGAAGTATTGATGCATTTTTAAAGTCCACAATAAGCCAATATTACCATTTCACACTCTGTTCGACTTCTTAGCATTCAGTAGATATATGTTATGACTGCATTTTCCAATGTTGCATTGATGAACTTTAATTGGTGGAAAGTTTGTGTGTACAAATATTTCCTATTCAGGAGTTTCATATCTACTCATCTTTTCTCAAATATTTATTGATTTTATCCTATCATACTGTCAAAGTCTAGTAGTTTTCCCCAAGGATGATACCACTGGACTGAAATGCGACAATTAGTCAATCAATTTATCAATATATATAAACAATGGGCTCATGGGCCACAATGCTCACCTGTGTATCTAAGGCCCTTGCCTTCATAACAAAATTCCTTTTTCTATATATTCAGATGTAAAACTTGATTGCCCTTTGAGGACCCATCCTATTACGGGGAGGGGTGGGGGTTGGGGTTATGTTTTGAACCAATTCATATCTAAATTATCTGAAGATGTTTCTTAATAAATATATTTGATCTTTACTTTACTGTTCCTGAGGAAAAATGTATTTAAAACTTTGATTATCTTTTGCAATATGCCCCTGGGTAAATACATTGTATATTCTTTTTTTGGATGCTTTCATAAAAATTGACTGATCATGGCTTTGCTGTCACTGAGAGGAAGATTTTTAAAAGCTATGTTACATATATACCGGTACATACCCATGTAAAACTTTGTTTGCCCATTAGTGGCCCCCACCCTAACTCAAAAAGGCCATGATTTGAACAAACTTGAATCATCCATTGGAGCAGGGTGTTGTCCTTCATTTGAACAAATATAATTCCCTTTTACCCAAGGATACCCTGTGCTAAGTTTAGTTGAAATTGGCCCATTCTGGATAAGGAGATGGAATTGTAAAAAGAAGATGACAGTGATGACAACAATGACAGGCAACAGTTATAAACCTTTATGAATAAATATATATTTTTATGTCCATGTAATTTTTTCAATCTTAGATAAAAATATATATTTATTCATAAAGGTTTATAACTGCATTAGGTATGTGAATACATGTACCATTTTAGATTTGATTGCAAAACAATTATGTTTATATGTAAATCCCTTATCAAAAACCTACACAATATGTTTCCGAAAAAATCCAGGATGGAAATGTTGGAGTGAACGAAGATTTTAAAAGTTAATTGAAAATTGTGACGTCATTTAGTATTATGCAAAAACAACATTTGAGAGGTATGGAATTTGTATTATACAAATGAAACTGAGCTTGCCTAAATGGTTTCTGAATCAGTAATCTTTCAGTTTCAACTAAGGCACATTATTTAATCACACTGAATGCCTTAAGTACAAAAGAGGGGATGTTTGCTTTACCATTCTAATAGAAATTTCGGCTTGAAGGGACTCGAAGCACTGTTTTCCTAGCAAGCTCCATATGATAGACAATATGTACAAAAAGAAGAAATTTGGGTTGAAATCTGGCCATTGTTTGAAGCAAGCTCCATAGACAATGTGTAAGAATGGAGGAAATTTGGGTTGAAAACTGCACATTGTTCCAAGAAAATTTTTTTGTCCCATGTGAAGAAATTCCAAACTCCCAATAATCCTTTCCGGTGCATAGCAACAACTTACATGAAAAAAATTACAAACAACGATTTAATGCAATCCCCATGCCACAAAACTATTGTTTGAGTCAAGGACTTTTTATTTGATATCATACTTTCATCACTTAAACAGTCTAGTTGAACCCTCAAACGGGGGTATACCCTCAAACGAGGGTTTTCCTTCCCTTAAAGCAACGGGCGAAAGCGGAAGTGGAATTCAAGAACGATAACTCTTCTTATTTTAAAAACAGATATTTTTTAAAAAATCACAAACATACAAAAATGAATTGTCTACACCTTTGTTTTCAATTAAAAAAATAAAATAAAATTTTTTTCGTTTTTATTTACCTCATTTCTGAAGCACAAAAGTTTGTTTACAGGACAGAGGAAATTCGGATGGGCACACAAGAAAGTGTCGAAAAATAATAAATAACATGTTAATTACACAAAATTTGTAATACCGGGGAAAGGAATTATATGTAGTTCAACTTTAAACAAATCATTGTTTATTTATTCATCCGTTTCATTAAATTATGAATAAGAAAATCTAGTTGTATCAAGCATGGAGGTCAAGGCACAGAATACGTTAACTTTGGTAGAGTAAAAGTCTCGATTTTTGCAATAAACATATACTTTTTCGCAATACAATCTCTTTAAACATCTTTAATCTATCAAATTTGAGTACATACAGAGCTAAGAAATAATCCATCACTTTGCACGAGCATATTTTGTGGACCACACGTTTTTCCGTGAAAACGGTACTTTTTTGAGTGTCTGCGCATGCGCGTACCCCCGTTTGAGGGTACGGTTTTCCTACTTCCGTTTACCCCCGTTTGAGGGTTCGACTAGACTGTTAAACAGCTCGGGTATTTCCAATTTTGTCAGAAACTCCTGAGAAGTACGGAATCACAATCCCAATGCATGGGAAGTGATTTTGTTTTATTTTCTTCTTTTTTTAATGAACAGATGATAGGGAATATTATAGGGCTGTGTATACTGAGCAAAAAAATTTGATATGATATGATATTTATAAAGCGTTTTTCGATATATTGGATTCTTTAAAAAGTCTATAAAAAGAGTCATATGATTCATTTACTGCATGAATTTTATAAGAACTAATTGTTTTATAACCCATTTCGAAGTTCATGTCTCACTATCCTAACAAATTACATGTACTTTAAACTCAAACTTTTAATGACTGTGAAAACAACATGATAAATAAAGATGTGTATGTGTTTTATAATATTTATCTAAGATGAGAAACGTACATCCTTAATTATTTAATCATTATTGAACAATTTTCATTCAAAACAGTGAAAAATATAACCTAATGCAGCTTTGCCGTCAGATTGAAATCCAACTTTTTCACAGAATTGTAAGAAACTCTGCCTTTCCGATACATATTGGAAGTTTTTTATTTCGATATGATACATTCTTAAATATTGATATATCAAATATTCAATATACTGATACAGCCCTAGGTGATAGTTATGTATAGGTTTGTTTACAGTAAATAACTGCTCTCGACCCAATGGCCACACTGTAAAACATATTAGCCCTCTTAAAAATGAGTTGTGAAAGTTCAATATCTTTTTCAAAAACTTATGAACATTTACAGAGGATTAACATTGTGCAGAATAAGCTTATGATAGGAAAGCTATTCTCCAACCTCAGCTAAGCCTGACACCTGTGGCTATGACTTCTTCTGACAAGGCCGAGGCTATCCGCACGACGGTCGTGCTAATTACCGATGTTATCCGCACGACGGTCGTGCCGATAACTAAAGTTATTCGCACGACGGTCGTGCGAATTATAAACGTTATTCGCACGACAAACTTCAAAATTAATTTATATTAATTATACGTTTATTTGTGCTATATTTTTACTTTGATATGATTTTTTACATGTCATTCTGCTTCTGTACGTTGAAACTCAAAACAAATTTCATTTATTAGACATCCACATAAAGTTAACCTACCTTTTTCCATGCTTACTATTCAGGAGTTCCTATGCAAGAGTTTTTTTTTATGTGATTTAGCCGTTTTTTTGCACTTATATGATTTTTTCAAAAAAAAAGAAGAAAAGAAAAGACGCCCCCCCTGAAAAACGGCATTTTTATTTAGAAATACGACACGCAAATTTTAATTTTATATACACCCTTGATATGAAACATGAACTAGTATAATATATGAATCAAGATTACGATTTCCCTATGGTAATAATTAAAAGAACAATCAAGGTTACCCTCTTTCAGAACGTTTCTTTCATGTTTTCTGATGTTTTGTTTTATCCATCACGTTCACAATTGTGTTTCTTTCTAAATAAATAAAATTTCGCATTTTTATACTGAATAATAGTTTTCTTTTTTGTAAAATAATGCTGTACTACAGGTACTTGTTTCGGAAATAATTTTTAAACCCATAGTATAATAATAACACCTTGTGTTATTATTATACTATAGGTTTAAAAATAAATTTTAAACCCATAGTATAATAATAATTTTTAAACCCATAGTATAATAATAACACCTTGTGTTATTATTATAATATGGGTTTAAAAATTATTTTCGAAACAAATGCCTGTGTGCTGTACATAAAATTTAAAATAATAAAGCAGAATAAATTTAAGCTAACCATGATTATTATATTTTTTTACGGATGCGGTGTTATTTTGGAAATTCAAAACATGATTTTTATACATGCAGTATACATATATAACTAAAATGCAACTAATAAATGTTTATATCATATTTATAAACAAAGCTAGATTAACATATACTGGATTCTCTCTATCATTTTGGGGACTAAGGGTCGCCCCTGTCTAAAAATCCACGAGGTTTTTTCACACTTGAATCCTTCAAACTATCGCAGTTCTACTTACCGCATGGTCAATTTCTCGACTGTGGGCGCAATTCACGTGCACAATTTCACTTAGAGACTTGCATCATGTACACGTCTCAAAAAATAATACGGAAAATTCGACATAATATTTTACCCATATCATCATTTTTACGTGAAGTATTCGGAAGAATTTAGAGAGAGAGAGAGAATTAAAATAGGGAAAGACTAATTAAGACCGTAAATAAAGGAAAGTATATTATTTTGAGAAAAATATTTGTGTACAGGCTATAATATATATTATAATTTTTGCTCCAATCAACATAACCTTAGAAAAATACCCAAGAATAAAATAATACAAAGGATGAATAATATTTAAAAATATATCATATATATCAATTTATTTAGATACGACGAAGAGTAAAATAAAAATATACGTTCGTTGGTTTGTTGGTTGGGGTGAAAAGTATACGTTCGTTGGTTGGGAGTAAAAAGTATACGTTCGTTGGTTGGGAGTAAAAAGTATACGTTCGTTGTACATATATAATTTCCCCCACCAACAGCCTTCAGCGTTGATATGATAGTTTATGAATGTTAGAGTTATCTCTCTTGTGTCGTGCGGATAAGAACTGTTATTAGCACGACCGTCGTGCGGATAACAAAATTTATCGGCACGACCGTCGTGCCGATAGACACTTCCTTCTGACAATGACAATTTTCAAATCAGTAATGTCATTAAAACAAGTCCCAAAATTGTTTGCATCCTTAAATTTTTATTTAAATATTTTTAAACATATATACCAACAAGATACTTACACATTATTGGCTGGTTGCTTGTTTCTCTTCAGGTCAAAAATGCTAGATTGTGTGGAAAGTCAAACGACTCTGTGCGCTGCCATGACACCGGAAGTTAAACAAAAACGCGATGATGAGGATAGACAAAACCCGGAAAAATATTTTCTTAACTTTGCAATAATAAATCAGCAAAAGCTTTCATATCAAGGAGAATATATTTCTTCATTGTGAAACACTTCTAAAAGCATATTGATGACTTGTGAAATATGAAAAAACAGTTTTTCTTGCAAGGCGTTTAGGGAACCGAATGGATAATGTTTCGCATTCGAAAAAATATATCTGGTGATCAGCAAAGGATTCTTAAGGCCTTTTCGAAACATATTTTGGGTATAATGTTTTACAAAATTGTTTAACATCAACAAAAGTCTTTGAAAAGTGGGTAATTAAACATAACAACACTTCTCCGGAATTCCAACTTCCTTCTGTTGTCGACCTCCATATTTCTTCCTTCTGGTTCTATAGTTTATAAACTTGATGGCGGTCTAGGTGAATATACGGTGATGTCTTATGCTGTAGTTCTGAAGGGTGGGCCACCCTGGGGATTAAGAATCCAGGGTGGAAAGGAATTTAATGAACCGATTTCAGTCGCCAAGGTCAGTATATTTAACTATTTGATCGCTTATGTTTGATTTAAAAAAGTTGTGAACTATTTTAAGGTGCTCTACCCAGGTGAGAGAATTTGCAGAAAGTTGTCAATTTGTAAACCGGGTAGACTATGTGTATTTTTAAAGTGACAAGTCGCGTACGATTTTAAAATACATTAAAGATAGTATTCGGAGTACTTTTATAAATTTGTTATATCTCTGAAGTAATAAAAAAAAACTAATGAAGGAGTTAGAACTTTTTATTAATTTTCATTCTATTGACGTTTAATTATACCATATCTTCTTGGACACAATTATTAGAGTTTAATGTACTGTACAAAATCTTCTAGCATTTTAAAGTGCTAGATAGAGATGTCATCTTGATCTTTAATCCCATTAGCATTCACAATAACTTAAACCTATCAGTAGTTAAAACTGTTAAATGGCTTATAAGTGTATAATCCAACGTAAATAAATATTTTTGTGTGTTGTGGTTGTAAGGTCTGAAATTTGTTCCCTTTCTATTGTGATTTAGGTTGACATAGCTTTATAATAGTGACATATGCAAGGTGCCCTTTATTTTGAGATCTTTTAAACATAGAGAACTTTACAAGGTCTTTCAGTAATATAAAATATATTATTGCTGCAGTTAAAAATCTGTATGTTGCAATTGAGTTATAAAATGAAAATTTTAAAATAATTTTACAAAAAGCAAGTGAGTAGTTAACCAGATAACATGACTTCTGGTGTCTGAGTCAACATAGCAAATAGATATAAAAAAGATGACTTTTAAAATTTTTTTTCTTGAAATCTTAATGAACATCAGCTGTTGAGTTTCCGGTAGTCAGTAGATAGGTATTTTCTGAACTGATAGGAAAGCATCTATATTTAGCTGGAACATTTTTCATCTCATTTGATAAAATTTTCTGAGATAAACTTGGCAGATAATGATTGATGGTTGAACATTTTAATGTAGAAATATGAATGGTCCATCCATATCTGATGTTTGCTCTTCTTTCATACCACCGGAAATTGCAAGCCTTTATGTATTGAAAGTTTTTAAAGGTAAAGTATTGAATAGTTGAGAAAGTGGGAAAATTGGACAATATTAGGGTATAAGGAGACACTGCTTTTCATAGGTTTCTGAAAAGAATTCTAATTGAACTCCAGAAGTTAAAAGAACAAAGGGCAAAAATATCTTTTGAAAAAATTACACTGTATGCTAACATCAATGTACCATTGTCTAACTCTATTGAAAAAATGTATTGCTTGCTAGCTCAGATCAAACTTCAAGGTTTTTGGATATTGTATAATTTTTTTTCATTATTTATGCATAAGTTCAGTTGTTGATTGCCTACTTCATTAATATTATGAATAATCTTGTCAAAAAAAATGCATTTGCATTATTAAGTATTTGCATGAGTGTGTTTTTGCTGAAAATTGTCAGAACACACATGATCTGGTAGATGGAGGATCATAGGAAAATCTTCAGGGGAGGGAGGGCTTGTCTGATCCAGTATATGATCTTTTATTGGATCCAGCCCAAAATGATTCAATGTCGGAATAAGTGTGTTGTATACAGGGGAGCTCACACACCGACTCCTAACTACATGCAATCTGTAAATATCGCAGCAGCAGGCTCAAGACAGAAACATGTGCCGCTTCATAGATAAAATTTGAAACATTTGATATAAAGATTTTTTTTTGAAGAAGAAGAACACCGAGAACTTGTTTTAATTACAAGGAGGTACGGGAGGAGATTTTTACCACAATGAATTAAAGTGTAAATCTCTTAGATAATGATGTTTAAAAGCTATACATGTATAGAATACACATCTGTCATTGATGACTTGACACTAAAGTGTTTCCTAAATAACTTCTGTTCAAATGTGTATTTAAGGAGTTGTCTGGTTTATGTACTTGTCAAATTACTAGAGAGACAAAAATTCCACTTTTGTCAGTGTACTTTTAAAATTATTTTACCTGATTAAAAATAATTCATCCATCTTCCCCCACCCCCTTCCTCTGAAAAAGAAGGACAAGTAAATAATTCCCCTCCCCCTCTCACCCCCCAAAAAAGAGGAGAAATTCATGATAATTTTTTAGTTGAGCTCAGAATATCTGTATGATATTAATCATTAAGGGTTGAGGGGGGAAGGAACCCAGTAACAGCCAAGTTAATGTTATTACACAGTTCATTAACCAGCTCGGGATGGGTTTTAGCATTGAAGTGAGGAATTTGTTTGTCTATCATTTTTTGGCTACCTTCAGTAAGATTTCCTTAATGAACTGCCCCCTCTTGGCTATTACTTAATGCCACAGTCAAGCTATAATACAAATATTTTGCTTAAAGAAGCATTTAGCATAGAAACAATTTTTTGCAAGGGATGTACTAACAGTTGCTGTCTGGTTTTTCATTCCATCGAGATAATCTGTATTTTCATTAATCAAAGAAAAGTAACTCATTGTTTAAAAGCTGTTTCAGCCTTTCTTTTGAGACAGAGAATCATTTCCTGGAAGCTGTCAATTCATAGTTATTTTGCAATGCAAATCTTGTCTTTTGTATAATTTTAAATATGACTAAATGCATTCATGATTCTATTCTATGTAAATGCATAAAAATTGTGCAGCACTACACTCGGACTTAGTTGGGCTGTAAGATTATGATTTGATATTTTGTGAAAATAAGAGACCCTTCTGGCACAAAATTATTAAGAATTGTCATGACACACCTGTCTTGATTTATGACCTAAAGGTAAAATGCATGCAATCTTTGGCAATTGAGCTTGGCATGGCTCTGCATAATTTTATGATATTTTATGATTTGTTAGTTTTGCTTTAACAGACTGTTTATAGTGTATGGGTTTATTGAACATGAGGTCAAGTGCTATATGAATGTAAAATTAGGCAACAAATTAAATCAGAGATGTAATTGAAAGTATTTTACCTATTGTACCCAGTAAGAAAATGTAGTGCAGTTGAACTTGTGAACCTTTAATTAAAGGTGCTTATCCTTCAACATAAAGATTGTTAGGATTTTTTTCTCTCTTTCTATAAATATCTTCCTTCTTAGCATTTAAGAAAAATAAACCAATTCAAAATTTTAAGAAAATCTGTCCACCCAAATTTGCCTTCCTCAGGAATTCACCTTATCAACTACATCACATATTTCATCTTAAACTTGCCATAAATTGAACAGGTCTTGCAGAAAAAGATTATTTGAAGTTATTAGTTTGTAGAACATAAACTGCTGATGTTGTGTCTTGTAAAAAAAAAAGGACAGTAATAGGTAAAAGTTGATTATCAGTGAAATGTATTATACTTGTATAAATTGAAATAATGTAAACTTGAGTTTAAGTATTAAAAGCTAATCAAATAGGCAACAGATATTTTATATCGTCAAAAGATGTGTCTGTCTTTCACCATTCACCAAAAATGTTGTCTTGACTCTTGTTCCATGAAGAGGTAAACATCTCCAAGATTACTTCCACTCATCTGAAAAGGGAAAAATTCTCCAGATTGGAGAAACTGCAAAGTAGGAGTCTGGCATATTCTTTTTTTCCCCCATATCAGAGCATCCATCTAAAGCAACATATATTGTTGTGTGGTAGTTTTTACACACTTTCTGCAGGTTGTATAATCATTAATGAACCTATCTGGCCTAAGGCTCTGACATATATACCTGGTTATATGCTTGTATACTGCAGGCTCCCAGTAGCTGCACGTGCAGGTGCAAAGTAACATGTTATCTTGTTTGTCAAAGTTAGTTTTTTTCCACGAAAAATCAGTTACTTAGGTGTTAAATTAAATAACAGAATTGTGAACAGACTCAGCTTTAAAAAAAAAACAAAAAAAAAAAAACCTGGCATTACAGCTTAGCTCATTTTAAGTGCACCATGAAGATAAAAATTAGATACTGTAAAGGGACAAGCTGGGAAGCATTTGGAACCCAGGTTACCCTTACACCTGTTAGTTAAAACTTTAAATATTTTTATTTGCACAGACTAGCCATATGTAAAAAAAACTTCAAGGAAAGTGTCCATTTTTATTTTCATTTATGCCCCCCCCCCCAAAAAAAGCCATTTAAGTTTTGTTTTCATTCTTAAAACTTCATGTTTAAATTATGAGTGTAATCAGAATGATGCATAATCTGTAGCACAAAAATCGCTCCAGAACTGTGTGTTTTTTGGCAGATGAGTTCGTCATATTTTTATATATTTATACCTCTGCCGATTCTATTTTGGGATAAACCTCAGCAATATCACTCTAACCTATCCTGTTTATACATAATAATCACGGCTTTCAAGTTTATTGCTTAATTTTAACTTCAGCGTACACATATTTAGAGCATGACTAATGCCAAAAAAGTGGCAGTCAATTAAAAGATGAATAAGTCTTAATTGAAATATTTTTGGAAAATTGGCAATGTACACAAAGTTAATGCAGTATAGTTCCTCAAAATGAAAATCCTTCCTTGAGGATATTTTATGGTTGGTGCTTAAGTCTTATCATTGAGGAGATGAACAATCCTGGGAGAGAGAAAAAAATTCTGACAATAGATTCTGATGCCATGGTGATGACCTCTGAGGTCAATG